TGTTTGAATCTCAGGTGATCAGTCTGATTGTTTGAAAAATGAAACGCGTTGGTAGTTAATTTACGTGACTAGCTTTTGGTAGACTACTATGTTTGGTATCTACGTTACTAAATTAAAACAAAACAGTCATAAAATTGTTTAGATGACGATTGTATGTAACGTGCTTTTTACACAAAACTATTAATTTTATTGATCAATCATTAGGCTGAATTACTTATTTTTTTCATCTCATCATGTCGGACTCCATTAAGTAATCTAAATGAAGAACAGGGAAGTAACATATAAAAAGTCGGATTGTTTTATAGAGGTACAATTATTATGAAAAAAAATACGGTCGGTACCTTTGAGTGCTTGTTTTGTAGGCCCGTGTTAAACTGAATGTAGGTATTACAATATAGTCGTATTTATTAATTATTTTCGCTCCACGAATTCCACGATAATTAAACTAATGGCCTATTTTAACTTTAATTCCCCTAAGGGTTGGGCATGCATATAGCACAGTGCACTTATTAAATGTAACACCCATTTTTTGCCACTTGTTTCATGAGTACAGAGTACCGTACCCACCCATTCAATTTTCTGAGTAGGCCCTAAAAAGAAAAAAGAAAACTCCAAGTAATATCTCTTTCTTTTTCTTCTCCTCCATTAACACTTTAACTGCCAAGCTTAAAATGGTGACTGAAAAAGTCAAACCTCCACTAGCATCAGGCACCGTTGCTCACTAGCACATGGCGCTCTAAGGGTCAAAGAGACAGTTCAAAATTCATTTATCATGACTTATCCCGTAGCACCCAATGAACACGATATTTTATCGAATAGATATTTTGTACCTAAATATTAACCAATTCATGCTTAAAATAGACCCGTAGTACTAGCAATGTGAATGTTATTCAACACATAGGTAGGTACTCATTCGGTTTAGTGTTACATTACATAAAAGTTCGTTGAACTTTGTAGCTCGCTACGCGTTTTTCCACCTAAGCAAGAAAATAGTACGGAAAGTCAAATTTTTTTAGGGGAACTATTGGTAGGTGGCATGTAAAATGAATTGATTTATTGGAATACAGACCTTCCAAACGTTTGGAGACTACTCTACCTTTCTAACTCCTCGTTTTTCTAAACAATCTACTCTTTCTTCGGAAAAGGCAAATAGCTTCACTGGGGACCGGCGCTAGACATTTCATAATTTGACTTACCATGTGTATTTAAAAAGTACCAAGATTCATCTAAACGAATCTAGAAATGTTCCTGTGCAGCTTTGCACCCAAACCAAACTGTTGTTGTATTTGAAAATATTTTCTACCTCCTATAAAATAATTACACTGCTATATCTACACCCTTCCTCGGCTTTAGGGACCGGTAGTAAATTACTTTTCATACAATTTATTTTTACCATGACATATACAGGAATATACAACAGGTCGATTATTCATTGTCAGCTACGTTAATGGGCAAAAAATGTGTCGGACGGTGCGGAAATGCACATTTTATCTTTATATATTTACATACAAAGGTATAAGGTGATAAGGTCATCATAATTAACTGTGTAAGGTTACGCTTTTATCGATCGAATGTAGAATGAATATAGGGATGATTTAACCATCGACGAACCACCAAATAATATGAATGTTATAGGTAGATATAATAATTTATGAAAAACACTAAAATCTAGATCATTTTGGTTAACACAAATGTCTCGAATTGAAAACTTTTTTTTTTAAATGTAAAGTTAATGATTGTACATCGAAACAGGTTAAATGTTGCTTAAAAGTTTAAAACACGATAAAAGATCAATACTTTAAGATAACTAGAAGAAATTGTAATTAATAGTATTACTTATTATTTAAATTAAAAACAAAGTGAACGGTAAATTGGAGCTGTACTTAGTTATCGCATAATTTGCATTAGTTGTTTTTTAATTAAATATTTTTTTTTAGCAAATATGTATGTAAAGTACCTATATACCGGTACTAGTTACTATGCAGCGATAAAGGAACGTCGTATGACGCGATTCTGTCTTTCATGTATGCCTGTAGATTGAAGATACTTTTGATTTCCAAAAATATAACTTTGATAACTTAAACACTCTTGGTTTAATTCAACACAAATATTCGTGATGATATAGTGCCTCCTTGCTTAATCTAAGTACTTAAATGAATAGATAGCTATACTCAGATACTAGGTGAAGGAAAGAGAAAGTGGTTTAAACATGTCTTACCTCGGTATTTACGTATTTACCTACAAATGTCGTCATTGGGTTAACAACAATTGCCAATTGTTTTTCTTCAATATTTTCTTTATTGCAAGTGCCTACTTACCTTCGTTCTGGTAATTTGAACTTTATTTAAATGACATTTTATAGCGGATATATAAAAGGATAAACAATTTTGTTCCCTTAAGTGTGTAGGTATAACGTTTTTTACCGCGGGCACGTGAGAAACAAATAAGAAAAGTATCGCAAAGGTTGTTTTACATACAAACACTATCTACAAAATGTTAATTCAATTATAATTCCCAGTAACTCTAAAGTTAATCTGTGGTTAACATACATTTAGTTACAATACGTTTTTTTTTTATTAAAAATATTTGATGGACCAACGTTTGGCCACTACCTCTCAGGTGGTAATTGATTGCCATTTACCAATTGTCAAAAAGTATGTCAAAGTAAGTGGCCCAATACTACCACTTAATGAAGAGAACAATATTTACACGAATTGTTCATCAAAAGCTTCGATTCCACCATTTTTGTTCGCATCGCTCACGTTTACCAATTTTGCCATATCTAGGTATTGATCTTGATATTTTCAATGTCAACGTTAAAAATAATTTAGTAGGCGTGAACCAGCTATTCAGGTACTTAATGAGAAAAAATAAACTTCACGAACGCAGGCCGATTTTATACGCTGCCGCGGGTATTTCTTTGTGCAGCTTATAGCTTTTTGTTTTTTTATTAATTTAACTTACGGGCGGTTACTGGAACTAGTCTGATACATACCTATGTAAGTACTATAGATAGTGTATCTGTATATACCACAGATATATTAAAGAAGTAAAAATATTACAAATTATTATATAGAGTGTACCTAAACGGACCGCTCCCGAAACGCTGACAAAAAGAATTTGTTTTTACGAGTACAATGCTAATCTTTTTTGTTTTCGTATTATTCATGCAACATCAGCCGTGAGTTGATTACAACTAGTATTACACAAAAGAAACGTTTAATTCCTTACTATTATGAAAATGAAACTAGTTTTTACCATCACTTGTTTTTCGGGAGCTTACACCCTGTATCTATGATCTATACACAGATTTTAAATGCCAAACAGTGTTATTCAAGTTTTTGATCAAGGAATTACCCAAAGGAAACTAAAGTTCAAGGAATCAATTAAGGATACCCAATTATATTTAATTTGTAAAAATCTACTGCTAGTGTCAGCCTGTAAACAGGTTCTTAGTGAAAACAATAGATAAGTTCGATTCATTAAATTTTTTTATCGCTTCAGAATATTAAAGAGCTGTTGTAGCGAGAATATTAAAAATGGTAGACAACTATAGGTATTAGTATTTTTTGAAGGAATGTCTTAGTGCAGTAATTATAAGTCGACATTAGATTCACTACCAGCTAAATTCTTGATTCCCGTGGAATGAAGTACCGTATGTGTTATTCCAGACCTAATAATCTATCCCTGTTCCAAATTACATCCCGATCCCTTCAGCCGTTTTAACGTGATTGTGTAACAAACATACAAACACTCAAACACAACTTTTCGCATTTCTAATATTAGTAGATTTCCTTTTTGCAATATTTTATTCATGTTTAGATTTTAAGCATCGTACATACCTGAAGTTAGTATTTATTTATCGTATATGCAATATACACGGTTACAGGTTAAGTCGACCAGTCCTTTAAGAGGTTACTACCTAATTTATACTATAATAATCTTAAAAATAAAAAAAATATCTTACTATGTAAACAAAACCTTGTTACAAATCTATTTCTGTTTTAATAATCCTTCGTCTACTACGCCTCTGTTGGTATAGTCACTTGAATGGTTTTAAATAATAAAGCAAGTAATCTTCTACACAAAAATAGCAAAAAAACGGAACAATATTGAGACACAAAACACAAAAAACAGGTGCAATGGACCAAAATGTGGAATTTTTATAAAAGTAATTCAAAGGCCGATATCATGAGAACTGTTAAGATTGGGATATGGGGTTTCTTCGTCAAAGCGGTCAGAATTGATGTATACTACCACCTCTTAAAAAAGGTCGACTTAACCAACCCGTTTTCTCAATAACCGCGTGTGGATTATCGATTTTATTAGTTCAAACATCAGTTGAAATGTTTATTGAAGGGCAAAAATGCCGAAAGCTTACGTCGTTCTTATGTACACATGTATACAATTTACATAACAATGTTTACATTCCTAATATCGAAGTAATTGACGCTAATCATTTATTGATCTTAATTCACAGTTTATTACCATAAGAATAGTAGTTATGTAAGCAGTTGGGTGTTCTCTTATTGGATACAAACCTTGCAGATTGCGTGACCAGCTATAATAACATTGAGTAGGACAATGCCTAGGTACTAGACTACTCAAGCAGGGCCTACGTTCATTTCAAATTCATAAGGAATGTTAATGAAGAGGTATACCATTAATAATCATGATTTTGAGATATTAAAATAATTAGGTAATACGGTTTACTCACGGAAATGTTCGAATTTCGACGATGTGGCGCTAGCTGATGATGATTATGAACTCCTCTCTAGGGCCGAAACTAGTCGGGTGGACGGTGAGCAACGTTTTCGTGAGGAAACAGTATTTCCTTATAAGCCATGATTTCCCATCTATTATTCTCTTAAACCGTACATAAATGCATATTAACGTATATTTCAATAAAACGATAACGTACCTACTTAAACCAGCTAATAGTCTATAGTTCGTTATATTATTTACTGAGAAACTTTGTAATATTTTCCTTTTTTTCACAGCACTCCAGACATACGCTTGGGTTATATTTGCCTGCGGTCTTGCGGTGCTGCTCATCATATGTGCTTTATACGTCATCACATTACGGTCAGCGGTCAAGCACTGGCGAGACCAAATGCACCATGTAGCCGTCGTCTTAAGTATTTATCCCGTAAGTATTAAGTATTTTTACATTTTTTTACGTAACATTATATTATTAACCTTGGAGAAAATAAACATTTAAATAATACTTATGCAAAATCAAACAATTAAGGACTAACAGAGTTATGAGGTAACGTGAAGTGTGTTTTCTTTCTGATAACAAACTACGCAGTCTGTTTTAAATAAACTATTTTAGAAAAAAGTTAATTAGGTACTTTGGAACTGTACGGAAATCCTTACTATCCTTACTAATAATATTATAAATCGGAAAGTGAGTTTGTTTGTTTGTTTGTTCCGCTTTCACGCCGTAACTACTTAACCGATTGCTTTGAATTTTTGGAGATGTATAGTTAGAAGTCCGGAATAAATAATAGGGTACTTTTTATCCCGGAAAAAATTGATATGCCTGAGGGAAAACCAAAGTATTGGTATAGATGGCGCTGTGTGTATTGGTATATGTCACATAGGCTACTTTTTATCCTTTTGTGACGCGAGCGAAGCCGCGGGTAAAAGCTAGTATAGGAATATTATAGGAATATCATCTCTTGTTGCTATAAGCTGGTTGTGGAATGAGCTACTTAGAGGACTCAGTTTTACGAAACACTATAGTTTGGACTCTTTTAAAAAGACCGCAAAATGTTTTTCGGCGTCTGTACTGCAAAGGTATTTCAGCTACGGTAAACGGTAACTGTTTTCCATCAGGTGTACTGGAAGTTTTGCTTACCACCAGTAGGTATAACAAGTAAATAAAATAAACGTAGGTAAGCACTACAGTACTGCGCAATATTTCATAGAATCTGACTCATTAAAAGCTCGTTCAACTATATAAAATAGAGAGGTCCATTTTTGCCCAATGTCATATGTCGTATTCACGTTTAATTGGTGACATTTCCTTAGGGCACGCAAATTTGATTAGTTTTTATGAGTCAGGCGAATGGTTTCCGCACGAATGGTAACATGCGGAAACATAAACGCAACCACCCTTGGTCGAGGTTACGAGGTTTGGGGGGAAAGCAACCACTAGGGGTGACCTTGAACACTACCATTATATCAACATCAACACTCGTTGGGACTCCACTATGTAATTACTTCAAAGGGGCATGAGGACGTGTGTTAAATGTGGAACCCTCTTAACGTCTGTTACGTTAGCGTGGGTGAGCTTACAGTCATGTACGAGGCGTTATAGTCTAAGATTTCAAGTGTTCGTAAAAAAAATTAGAACAACAATAGTACTCGATCGACGAGGTCTACCCACTACAACTTACTAACTATTAACGATTTCTTAAATAAATCACATTTCCTTATGGTGTTACCAAAAATAGTCGCAAGTCATCGCTACCAATTTTATTTTATCTAATTTAAAAGCAGAAGTTTTTTTTGGGCAAAATGAGTTTGAACTAACATGTGACGTGTTTTCTGAGTGCTCGTTCAACCGTGACAATTTTAAGTAGTTCGTTGTATTAGGTTTATTTCGGCGATCAAAAATTTACTGACAGAATGAAACAGTAGCTAAATCGGGCAGAAGAACACTTATGTTTTGTTTGCCTTTGATACGTTACTGTCGATCTAACTGTGCATAGAACAGATGGGGCCATAGGGCCGATGCCGATTCGGAGTCGCGGAGAACCTAACGGGTAACCGGGGCTCCGGCTCGACGTGCAGAAGGAACGGGGTGGTTTTTAGTCAGTAAGAGTCTGACACTCCCTCCCGCCTCACCCAGGCGGGAGCAATCATTCGAAGATTTTCCCCCCTTAAAAAAAAACTGTGCATAGAGAAACATATATTCAGGTCCATACGATCATTAGATTAATGAAGTAGAACTTTTCTTGGAAGTACGTATACTTTTGGGTTTTCGATATCAATTTACTTCATATATACACAAATTGACAATGTCTCAATCGATATACCAGGCACTTGTTGACTTGTTCTTTATTCATATTGGCCCAATGACGTGCTAAGCGAGAACTAGACGGTATCAAATAACCAACCACTTTTCGTAATTAATTGTTGGTAAACCAATCATCAACCTGATAAGGTTTCTATCGAAACTTAAGTAAACTGTTTGCTGAACAAACATGTCAATTTATCACCTTTCAGTGTGAAAGGTTGAAGATACAAAGAAAGGTGTGTTACATAGCAAACATTTATCTATCTATTTTTATTAATGTTTTTTTTCTAATCGAATTAAACCGTTGTCTTATACTTTCAATGACGTTAACAGATAATATATATAAATTAAATATCCTTTCTTTTTCTCATTAGATAATTATTATTTTTATTAAGTATTTCTTACTTTTTAGTACTGGTAGTACATACTATATCGTTCTCTATTTGACACAGGTCCAGATTTTATCTAGAAAATCGATGGTAGCTAAGTAAAGGAAATGACTGGTAGATTGGATTTTCTTAAGGGTGGATTATATAATGATTGATTATTTTGTGAATCGATAAGAATCGATCAATGTTGAATTAAATAGAAAAACTTGGTAGGTAGTCAAACTGCACTCAAATAAGTAAGCGTGATTGTATTCCGACAATGTGAAGTCATCTTCTAGACATAGGCATTAGGTATATTTGTAATTGTTTCATAAATATATAATAAAGCTATAAATATCCTTCATTTTACGTAATTCTTAACCTTGCAACAATAATAATAATGTGAAGCTAAGTACTTGACCGCAAAAGTTTTGAACTTGTTATTGCATTTTGAAACCAGATTCAAAATATACAAGGTTGAATTACTTTTACGGGGACTTTGATGCGAAAGGAAAATAATGAATGAATTTATTACTGAAACTGCAGTTTAGAAATTATAATCTAATTAAAATAATTGGATTATTTCAAAGTGGTAGAAATAAGAGATATTTATGTTACGTCAACCGAAAATTATTTTAGACTAGAATAGACCTTACCTTAGAAAAAGGTAGTCCCTTCAGACAGTTTTAAATAAATCCATAATGTTAATTCGGCTGTCTTTAATTTTATCAAGATAACGAATTTCTAGTAATAATTAATATTTATCAAAATTATGGAAAATAATACTTAAAATGTTGATGTATTTTTTAGATTTTTAATTAGGTAGGTACTCTACCACCATACAGTTGGTAATTAGTATGAGAAAATCATTGAAAAAACAGGATTGATATATTGGACCAACAATAGTTTATCAAACATTGTCCTGTTTTGCTATTAATTTTGTTCATGATCATTTATTGCGTTTGTTTTCCTAGTTCACACAAAATCATGCTGTAGGTTCCATTAAAAAAGGTTCGAATGGAATGTATGTACCTAATTCCCGTATTATCGGCTAATAATATGATCAAAGATCAAATTGCTATGTTCCAGGTTCTTTTTAATATTTTCTTAGGTCTACCTAGGTCCTAGATCAGGGGGTTTACTCTTGAATCCAATTTCGATCAATCGACATTGGTATTGTGTAATTTTGTACTCTTCAGTTACAACACTAGCGCCCATTGCATTCGTATTGCGTGGATATTGAACGAACTAAATGGTATTGAGTTTGGCTTTATATTCCGCACTCTGAATGCTATTTTAACATCTACGATAGGGGTTGTATAGTTTTGACGTTGAATAATTATTGAGTCTTTATTAGATTGAAATTGCATCGACATCGAGATTGGTTTCAAGACTAAGCACCAAGATCGTATGTTAAATTATCAGGCCTTAATTTTCGTGTACTTAAGTAATTATTGTAACAAGATTATTCTCATGGTTAAATGAAACGACGACTTATTTCCTTATTATAATAAAAAAATATTAATACGATATTATTATTATCTGTGTATTATTAATAATAAAGCGTACCTAATTTATTTAGTATAAACAACAATTATTTAATAAAATAAACGTTATGATTAACATGTCCTAGTAACTACTTACCTAAGAAATAAACGTGAATGTGGTTGTTTGTGTGGAAAAACAAACAAACAGTCGTATTAAAAATTACATCAAAGAGATTGATTTAATTTTTGTGCAAAAATGTGGTTGAATAAATTTATTCCATCATAACAGCCATGTCTAATTAGACATGGCTGTTTTTTACACTGAGAAATGCATCTCATATCTTTAGAATAAAAATACTATTATTTAAGACGACTTTGAAAACGGATTGTATATTGTGTATTTACCTACACAATATTGAATATCATAATGATTCAGCAACTACTAGATAAGTATTATAATCTACTATATTTATACAGAATCATGTTAATAGATCCTTGTGGTAAGTAGGGTACAATTGGTTCGCGACTCCGTCCACCGCTGTGGGTCATTGTTGCGTAGGCGCAGTTTCGTAATCACTTGGCGACGAATACCGATCTCCGTTGGCCGTCATTGCGAATTTGTTTAAAATTTAGTCTTTTAAAAACCGGGTTTACATTGACCTAAAAGTATTAATTGTGGATATGACATATTATTATGAATTAGTTATGTATAGTCAAAAAACTTACGTTGACTAAGTAAAGAGACATTCAAAGTGCACCTTATAGTCTTAATATAAGTGCATAATATGGACCATGTAACTTTATATTGTTATGATGCATGGCGGAATGAAGATGACAAGGCATTGTGTTACAAATTGATCATTGTTAAAATCTGGGCTAACGGTAGTTTAGTTTATAACACATAATATGATGTGCATAAACTTATTGATGATGCAGCAAGTATTTAAAATCTTGATGGAACGCCACATAAAGTAAAGATGAATGCTTTGTTCACTCGTTCCTAAAATGGTCCCAATCACAAGTACAATTTCCAAGGCATCTTGAGTTTTATATAACCGGTAAAAGTGGGAGTTATTATGCATTTAATTAATAAGTGTATCACTCCAGCCTCTTCAGGAATCCTAATCCGAATAATTTTGCAGCGTAAACCGAGCCAATTTGTTAACATTTCTGAGATGCATCAGATTTTTGTTAAGGGGTTTTTTTTGATCAGCTAGGTACTGTAGGTTTTGACTTGGAATAATTAGGTCTTATAACTGTTACCTACTATTATTTATAGTGAATGGAAACGCGTTCCGGACTTGCCCGAATAATTAAATTGAAACCACAAGGTAAGTTTTATGAGATTAGTGTGTTTCGGTTGAACCTAACAAAAATTATGTAGTTTCTTGTACAGTTAAACCCTGTGGAGAAAAACACCCAACCAGGCATGATTTTACTTGTTATATTTTAAGTAATTATGTACTGAAATAATAAATTTGTTAATTTATTAACGGACGAGATCGTTACAAAACAATTATCTTAGAATTCGGGTCAAAATCAAAAGTCCTTGTAGGTAAAGTGCAACCTTTGTTAAGCGTGTGCAAACAGCAGCAAATCAAAGTACTCCAATTTGTCTAATTTCCTCAATAGATTTTCGTCTTTATTACAAAGTCTTAAAATTGAAGATTCAATGAATAAGGACGGCAATGTAAGGTATCTTGGAATGTAGGAGTACAGCTTAGTAATAAATTAAAATGATTTAAAACAATGTATGTAGGTATGCGTGTAAAATAACAAATGAATTTAAACTCACTCTAACCTGTAAACAATATCTACGTAAAAGGGAATTCTTTATACGTAAGTATTTAGTTTATAACGGATTGCCACGATGCTTCAAAGTAATTAATATTTACACTGCGAATGTTTTAAGTTTATAAGTATATTATTCAAAAGAATGTTTAGCTAAATTCTCTCTAAAACTTATTACCTATACCTAGTTACCTCTTTTGGGAGTAATTAGTATGACTTTATATAATACCTCGTATGACATAGGCGCCTAGTACTATAACTAGAAAAAGAAATAACAATCGTTGTATAATAACGAATACATAATACCAAGGAAAATAGGTACCTCAACAAAAGGTACCTGGGAATCTTAGAATTAGATAATCTAAGGCTTCTCACGTTTGAAAAAAAATTAGGTAGGTATAAATAAATAAAATTATAATGAAAATACAAGCATCATGCTTGTATTTTTTTTATAAATTATAATTTTATAATTAATTTATTAGTATCTGTGATATCACCTTTGATGAGATAACCAATATGACGTCGATGATCCGTAGTTACGGGATCTGCTTAGTACCTATATGTATTGTAAAAATATGTGTTCAGTAAAAACGGATCATTTATATTTTCTTTGTTATTATAAAAAGTAATCAAAGTAAAAAGGAAGATTCTTTTTCTTATACGACTTTACACTTCAGTATAAAAGAGTTTAAAAATGTTTTTCTTACTGAAATAAAATAAAAACGGATAAAGTAACGGGTCTTTAATGCACGTACCTATGAAGTTTCGGTCAAATGTACCTCTAGGTAGAGCTAGTCGCAGATTAAACAGTTCTTTAGATCCTACTGATTAATTTTCGATAATTGTGCTTTATTAACGATGACTGTGAATATAACGATTTGTGATACTTTGTATTTGAAACTATCGTTCTTGACCGATTTTAATACATTAGCAATTTGTCTTGCGGTGGGAAAGACATCGAGTAAATAATTATACTGACGTAGTCAGTGTCTATATGCAAGAACAATGATAGTCATTGTTTTTTAATTAAAGAAGCAACGAGAATATTTTGCGTAACATAACATCACACCATTTATCCCTGAAGGGGTAGGCAGAGGTGCACATTAAGGCACTTAATGCTACTGTACAATATATAACCCCCACTTTTCACTATTTATGTTATGAGTCCCATGTAATCGGGGGTGAGCCCAATGCCATACACTGGGCACAATTCCAAACTCAGTCCTATTACTGGGAATTAAAAAACAAAACCAGTAATGCACTGTTTTGCAATGCTTTTTAAATAGGGTCGATCGTAATGTTGCCTTCTCTGTACGAGAAAAGCCCTTTAATTAACAGTGGAAAAGGTACTAAAATACATACATA